GTCCAGGTCTTGATGTTATTATAGTTGAATCCAAGTAAATTAATACATAATCCACCCTAATTATTTAAAACAATTGAGCTCAAATAAACCCTTAAAATGAGGGACTCTATTCCAAACAGTCAGCCACATGTGTTCCTTCACAGCCATGTCCTGGAGGCAGCAAAGTACTGAGGTGAGAGCCCTACAAGAACATGTGAGTGCATATATCTTGACAAGGTGGTGATCTTATTCCCGTCAAGTATATGGCCAGAGGGTGACTGCTGGGCCATATGGTACTTTTGTTTTTAATTTCTTTAGAAATCTCCATACTGTTTTCCATAGTGGTTGCACCAAGCTACATTCCCATCAACAATGTACAACTGTTCCCTTTTCTCCACAGCCTCAATAACATTTATCCTTTGACTTTTTAGTAATAGTAATAGCCATCCTAACAGGTGTGTGAAAAGGGTAACTTTGTGAGATGATGGATATGTTAATTGCTTCACTATAGTAACCATTTTACTATATATAGTATCCCCTATTATGGTTTGTACTCTAAATAAACACAATAATTTTTTTGAGCCCTGCATGATAGTCAGTCTGCCTGGTTTCAAATCTGGTTCTGAAACTTCCTTGCTATGTGACTTTGGACAAATGAGATCATACAACTATCTGAATCATAACTTTTTTTAATAAGGGGATTTTAATATAGGAAATTGGTTGTACATGTTTTGGAAGGGCTAAAGAACAAAAAGAAGGAGAGGTGCTGTAGGAGAAAGGAGGAAGAAGGACTGACACCTAAAGATTAGAAGCTGCTAAAGCCCCTGGATTGGAGCCCTTTAGCAGGACCTGCTACCATGCTGTTGGAGAAACTATCTCAGTTGGTTCTGCATTCATCAAAAAGTTCCTGTGACTGGGGTTGGAACCACAGAAAAGATGTTGACTTTGTCCAAGCGTCGGGACTTCAGAACCTCTCTAACTTTGTTGTCATAGCAACAAACAACAACTGCCACATTATTAGTGTCAAAAGCAGGAAGCTTCTCTCGGTCCACTTCTGATCTTCAAATGGGAACTTTAGATTCCCATTAGCATAATTGAAAGGTAAGTCAGCTGGCAATGGAAGCTGGGAAATGTATAGTTTGCAGACTTCGAGCCCCAGTAGTATAAAATATAGCATAATTGGGCAGATGTGAAGCTGAGAAAGATGAGTAAATAACTAGCACAAATGCTCATGAGACAATTTGGCCTGTAGTTTTCATTCTCATAGTGAATTTCTTCATTTGTTTTAAACAACTCTTTATTTTACCATATATTTAAGGTATATAGCATGATGTTTTGATATACTTATATATAGTAAAATGGTTACCATAGTGAAGCAAATTAACATATCCATCATCTCACATAATTGCCCGTATGTGTGTGCGTGAATGCATTTAAAAATCTACTCTCTCAGCAAATTTCCAGTATACAATTGTTATATTTTCCTCTAATTTGGTCTTGAGGTCTCTCTCCGGAAAGTGGTACAAATTCCAGTGCTGCACTCACAGGACTCCAGGGTAGATGGTCGTGGATATTTACAGTGTGCTTTCACAGGGTACTTCTTTATTCTCATAGATAGACTAATGCCCAAATGTTCAACCCATGACCAGGTGTCTCTCACACAGGAAAATCTTCATTCTAGCAGACACCCTTGTGGGACTCTTGTCTGACCTGTGGATAGCCACCCTCTAGGAGAGTCCTGGCCAGGAAAGAAGTTAGGTTCAGGTGTATTGGTCAGGTGAGACACAGAGGAAGCAGCACAGCAAAACATAAAATAGCAGAAGCAGTTTCTTATCTACAAATCCCAGATGGAAGAGGGCAGCACATCTTGTAGGGCCAATGGGAAAGGGGAGCTTTCAGGACATGCACACTCAATCAGTGGGTAGGGAGCAAGAGAGAGAGTGAGGGACTTATGGTACCTGTCTTTCATATGGTTCAGGGCATTGCCCTAACAGATGTTCCTCAAGGAGTTCTAATTGGTGGGTTTAGAGCAAGCAGGCTTCAGTTCCCAGGAGTTATGCTATGACTGAAAGGTGGTCACTAATGGCATATGTGCACATTCCATGAAAGGTATGGGCTCACTAGGCAAGTCAAGTAGATCATATCTAGCTTTACCATAGGAAGGAGGTCCATGCCTCCAATTTGTGGATCTTTACACTGTTCAAGTCTCTACTTTCTATGATAGGTGAACCTCATCTTAAATGCTTACTAACAATAATACTGGCCTGGAAATCAGAAATCCCTAGTTGAAGAACTGACATACTAATGACGTTGAAAAAGTCATCTTACCTCTTTGAATATCAGTTTCTACTTCTAGAAAATAAGAGCTCACACTACTCCTGTTGGAAGCTGAGAAGTTCAAGATCAAAGTCCTGGATTGGAACCCATTAGCAGCACCTGCTAATGGGCTAGTGGGAGAAACTATCTCACTTGGTTCTGCATCCATCAAAAAGGTCCTGTACTGACTGGGGTTGGAACCACAGCAAAGATGTTGACTTGGCCCAAGCTTCAGAGTTTGGAATCTCTCTACCTTTGCTGTCACAGGTCATCTTACCTCTTTGAACATCAACTTCTACTGCTATAAAATGGAGCTAACAGTAACCCTTGCAAGCAAGCAGTTAGATCACATGAGAATGCAAATGTCCAGACACTCTATAGACTATAACACTGTAGAAATTTGAAGTACGAGCTGGTTACTATTCCTACTAAAGTTCTTAAGAGTAGTTCGAATTCTGATGGAGATTGGCTTTTCAAGACTGACCAGGAAACTGTGTTCACACTTAAAGCTATTATCAGTTTCAGCTTGAATATCACTCATTTATTTAATTCAGAATGATTCACTTTCTGTCACATGAATCGAGAACCCATTGCTATATTCTGAATGTTTGTTTTCCCCAAAAATTCATGTTGAAATCCTAATTCACAAGGTGATAGTATCAGGAGGTATTAGAAGCTGAGGCCTTTGGGAGGCTCTACCCTCAGGAGTAGGATTAGTGTCTATATAAACGAGGCCAAAGGAACTCATTCACCCCTGTCACCATACAGAGGTTTTAGAGGAATGTGACTCTCTATGGACCAGAAGACAAACATCGGTTCTGCCAGCACCTTGATCTTGAAATTCCCAGCCTCCAAAACTGTGAGAAATTTCTATTATTTATGAGCCACCCAATTTATGGTATTTTGTACAGCAGCCCAAACCCACTAAGACACAGAATGCATCTGCCCAACTAAATAATTTTTGAGTCCTGTGAGAAAAAGAATAGCAGAGACTTTGAAGAGAGTCGAGCCTGAACCTAGTCTGCCATCTTACTTTGCTTACAACACAGAACACAGGTCTGCCTGGTGTAGAGGTAAGAGACTTTGTGCCATCCCTTCAGTGGAGTCTATGGGCAGAGCCAGGGCATCCGATCAGAGGACGGGTGTTCAGGGTGCTCTTCCAGAGCAAGCTGCCCCAGCCTTGGCCAATGAACAGAACAGTCAGGGCAGCAGCAACTACAAATCATTCCCAGCCACCCAGAAATTGCTGGGTCTGAAGGAAGCCGACAGCTATCAAAGCTGCCGTGGCTGGCTGGCTGGCTGGCTGGCTGGCTGGCTGGCTGGCTGGCTGGCTGCTGCTCACCAAGGCAAAGAACAGTTTCCAGTTGAGGGCTGGGGGAACGGGGCTGAGTCCTCTGACAGCACAGGCATGACCTCTACAAGTCACCCTCTTCGCTGCACTGTTGAGACTTAGAAACTAGATAATTCATGCGAAACACGTAAGAAACATCTGAAAGTCCATGAGAAAGAGGGCACAGAGACACTGTCAAACTCGGAAGGAGCAGTTGTTGGCAGGTCCAATAACAAACTTTGCAGTCCTTTTTCTCTAACTGATATTTTTAATAATCGCTTTACTCACAAGCAACTCAGAGATATTAGGTTTTCTGTGTTTCCAGGGGTTGCTAGGCAACATTTCTAGGCAGCTGGAGATATTTCCGTAGTAAGCAAGTCATGTTCTACCACAAAGGCCATGGTTTGAAAAACACATTTTTCATCTATCATCTATAAACCCAGTGTTTTAATACTAGGAGTCTTTTATAATAGCTAAAATGAGATTCAGCATTTGATAATAGTAACTACAGCATGCTTTAGCATCGAGCCCTGATATAACTCTGCTCTGAGAACATGCATACACCAAAGAGTGCGTCAGTTTTCACAGGTACCATCCATCAGTCAAGCATGGCCAACAAGATGGATCAAAAAAACTCACCTAGACAGATATTTTTTTAAAATAGAGTTTTTAAAACAGCTTTTAGAGGTTGGTTCTTTGGTTTTTGTTGTTAACTTCAAACTGAAAAGATTTGTTTTTCCTGATTTTCTTTATTATTACTTCAAAAAATGTGAGATAACCTCTAATACAATGAAATTTACTTGTAGGAGTCTCCATTTTTCTAATTAAAATTTAATATATACCAGTGATCTGTACATTTTTGCTAAGTTCTAATTTTGATTCTCTTTAGTTGGATGCTTACAAATCTCTTCAGTGTGTGGGATACTTTAGAAAATTTAAACATTGACTGTGCCTGGAGGTATTTTTAAAAGTCTCCAGAAACCCTGGGCTGCATCTCTGCTGTTACAGAAAATTAGCTTTTAACAACAAACATGTTAATCAATAGTGGATTAAATTATTTCTCATTCTTTGCTCATTGCCGTTCTTTAGAGCCATGCAGTTATACCCAAAGCAGAGCCTTCTCCTCTGAAAGGCATGCAGTGCCAAACTTCTAATACCCAGGTTTTGAGAGAGTTACATATCCAGAGTCCCAAATAGTTTTGCAGAATTGGCATCCACAAAAGGACACTTCTAGAGCTGTCTTAAGCACATAGTCACCCACTCTCTTTTCACCAGCACACACACAAAAAATACATGTTCTAAGTCAGCAATTGTTGTTTGCTGGTTCCTCAAGATACTAAGAATAACAATTAAGTTTACCACATGAAAACCAAAGTCTTTTTGGACCCATTTCTCTAATGCTTTCTTATTTATGTAGCTTCAGAAGGCGAGTTGATTGCTTCCAAAATAACACATTTATATCTGATTCTTTTCTAATTGGGTTTTACATAGATGAAAAACAGGCATAAAATATAATTAAAGATAATAAAATTATCTTCCACACGTATATGCTATCTGTTTTGAATTTTTCTTGCAGCAGTGGGTACTTCACAGAACAAAAGTGTCAGAGGCTGAGAATTTTATCTTCAAGAGAAGTAGATGAAGTGGCACATTTTTGCACCAAGAATAAGTTTCTTCTGTAATGGACAATTTTCAAAATCAGGCAGATCTACAGAATTAAAGTAACTTTAACATTTGTATTCTTAACCAAGTCTTTGTGTTATTAAACCACAACCACAATTAGGAAAATAATTTTTTCTTCTGCTAAGCAATAAAATCTCATTGATTCATCCAACAAATCTCGAGACCCTACTGTACATCAGGTATCCTGTCCATCTCTAGGGATATAAGTGAAGAGAATGTTTTCCCTGCCTTCAAGGAGTTTACGGCCCAGGAAGGAAATACAAATAAATAGCCAGGCAATTATAGCCGTGCAATAAGCACCAGATAGAAGTAAATATAGGGAATTATGAGAACACAGCAGAGCTCAGGAGAGCCCTCCAAGCACCTCCAAACTGAGACCCGAAGGATCCACAGAGTTAGCCAAGAGAAGGTGTGGGGGAAGGGGAGGAGGGAGGGCAAGAGTGTTTCAGACAGAAGGAGCCATAAGTACCAAGAAAAGCAGCACCTCTCTCCCTCGCTGGGACTAGTCATCTTCTCCCTGTGTCTGTGTCCCAATCTCCTCTTCTAATGCGACACCAGTCACAGGGGATTCCGGCTCACTCTAATGACCTTGTTTTAGCCAAATTACCTCAAAATTACCTTATAAATAAAAAGACCTTATCTCTGAACAGTCACATTCTGAGTTACTGGGACTTAGAACTCCAACATATAAATCTTGGAGGAACAAATTTAACTCATAACAGTCACTTTGGCTGTAAAAGTGGAGAAGGTAAAACTAGGGGATAGACACAGGACAGGAAAACCCAGAGAGGGTATTTCCAGGAGGAGGGGGAGGAGTTAACAGCACTCCAAGTGCCTCCAAGGTCAATAAAAAGGTAAAGACTGAAATTGTCCTTCAGAATTAGGGGCAAGGAAGGGACCATGACTTCGATAAGTGCTGCTTTGGACAGTGATGGGTGCCAAAGGCCAATCTCAGTTTATGAAATGTCTGGGAGTTCAAAGGTGCAAGCAACCCCTCAGGAAATTTCTCTGAGAAAGCCAGGAGAGAGCTATAGGTAACTGAAGACAGAGTCACAAGAGGACTTATTTTGTCAACAAATAATTATTAAATTCCCACTGTGCACACAGGGCTGAGGAAGTACACTAGATAAAACCGTGCCATTGGCAAGATCAACGTTTTGAGTTAATGGAGAAATTGCAACTATGTTTAAGAATTTCCATATATGATCAAAGACTGGAATACACAAAAATGATATCAGATGCTGAGTTTGGGAGTCAGAAGTAATCTATTTAATCTATTTTTTTATTTTTAGCAATTTGTTTAATGTAGTAATAATAAAAGCTATCACTAAGTATCACGTATTGGGCAATGTGCTAAGTGCCTTACACTATCTCTTCTAATTCACATAAAAACTGTATAAGGTAGCTAGTATTATTTTCTTCATTTTACAAATAAGAAAGCTGAGACTTAATGAAATTAAATAACTCAGTGAAGGTCCAAAAGCTAGTAAAAGTGGACCCAAACATCATCCATGTCCATGATATTAAAAAGAAATGCCAAAAACGCATTTCAAAAGGAGTATTTGTGTTTGAAAACGGATGTGCTGAGGGGAGGTATTTTGTGTAATGTGGGAAAAATCAAGACAGAAACTATGTTATATAATTATGGCAAAAGAAAAACTGTTTATAGAGTCTCCTAGCACTTGTCATCTGCATTAGAGTGCAGATCTTGGCCGGGCGCAGTGGCTCAAGCCTGTAATCCCAGCACTTTGGGAGGCCGAGACAGGCGGATCACAAGGTCAGGAGATCGAGACCATCCTGGCTAACACAGTGAAACTCCGTCTCTACTAAAAAGTACAAAAAACTAGCCGGGCGAGGTGGCGGGCGCCTGTAGTCCCAGCTACTCGGGAGGCTGAGGCAGGAGAATGGCGTGAACCCGGGAGGGGGAGCTCGCAGTGAGCTGAGATCCGGCCACTGCACTCCAGCCTGGGCGACAGAGCGAGACTCCATCTCAAAAAAAAAAAAAAAAAAAAAAAAAAATTGAGTGCAGACCTTGGTTAAATTCTATCATGAATCAAAGAATCCTGGGAGTTCCATGTTGTATGTATACCTCGCCTGCCAATCTGACATAAATTTCTCAAGAGTAGCTATGTCTTTATTACCCTTTGTTGTTCCCACCAAGCCTAGCTCAGTGATTTCACCGTAGGAGTCTAACGCTGAATAAATGTTTGCTTGAATTACTGAATGTTAAACAAAAATATTGAAACAGACAACAAAACAGTCCCAGTATCAAAACAAAGGTGCTGGGAGCTTTTGAGAAAAACATTCCCCTTCTGAGACACCATTTTCTCCTCCTTGCTTAAATACACTGGGCCTTTGATGATATTTGACATCATTTCCTAGCACTGATTCACTGGCTCTGGGAGGGAAGGGTGAATCTCTTCTCTCCCACTGTTTCTTAGCAATGATAAAAGCAAGCCATTTCTATCATTTTTGGAAATGGAACAGAGATGCTTTACTTCCAGCTGCTTATTAGACATATAAATCAACACCAACAATCAATTGTACATCCTCACTTTGCTGTTAAGATCACTAATAGAATACAGTTGGCTCATACTATTAGCAGTCAAGGGTCATGCATAAATCTAACAGTAACTGGGAACTGCTTAATTTCAAAATCACATTTTTAAAGATGCATCAGAAAGAAGCTATTGTAACCCTTCAAGCACCAAACTGGATTGGTTCTACTTTTGTAAATCCCTAATAGCATTTCTTCAATCGTTAGTACACTCCTATTTGCATGTGTAGTGAGGCATATAATGTCTAATGATAATTTGGGTGATCATGGTGTTATAATGCAATAGCATTTTAAAAGTAAAAGTTCACATGTATGAGAGGAATTTTCTGTCTCTAGACAACTGAAAGATTATTCAAAGGTCTAACTGCTTTTTCACATACATAATTCCAGCCACCAAAATTGATACCTTGGAGGGAAGTGTTGAAGAGTGGTTACATGTGTGGTCTGTGGAGTTAGACTACATAGGATTAAATCCAAGGTTTACTATTTATGTGATCTTGGAAAGTCAGCCTCTTTTACCTCGATTTCCTCAACCCTAAAAAGAAATACTATTCAATCATAAAACAGAATGAAATCCTGTCATCTGTGGCAACATGAATGAACCTGGAGGTAACTGTGTTAGTGAAATAAGCCAGACACAGAAAGACAAAACCACATGATCTCACTCTTATGTGGAATCTTAAAAAGTTGATTTCATAGACAGAGAGAGAATAATGGTTACCAGTGGTTGAGGAGGAAAAGCAGGAAGGAATACCAGGAGAGGTTGGCCAACTGGTACAAAGCTACAGTTAGACAGGAGAAATAAGTTTTGGTGTTCTATTACACAGTAGGGTGACTATAGCAAATAACAATGTAGTGTGTATTTCAAGGTAGTGAGAAGATTTTGAATGTTGTCATCACAAAGAAATAAATGTTTATAGTGATGGGTATAATAATCACTCTGATTTGATTATTATACTATGTATACATGCATTGAAACATCACATTGTACCCCAAAATATGTACAATTATGTTTTAGTTATAAACACATACATTAAATTTAAAAATAGTACTGACATTTATTTGTTGCTTTGTGGTTAAAAATCAGATTAAAAATAAAAATAAAAACAGGGTGAAAAGAATCAAAAATAAAAACAAATATGAAACATTGATAAGTAAAACAGTAATGTAGGTGACTTTCTAACCAGAGAGACATCTCATGTTTTATTGAAGAAAAATGGACATCACATAAAACTCACTATTTTAACCATTTAAAATAGTACAATTCAGTAGCTTTTAGTGCATTCACAATGTTGTATAACCATTGCTATTACCTAATTTTAGAGCATTTTCATCTCCTCTAAAAGGAACCTCACACCCATTGAGTAGACAGGCAGTCACTCTTCATTCCCCCACATCCCAGCGCCCTGGCAACCAGGAATCTGCTTTCTGTCTCTGGATTTGCATATTCTGGACATTTCATATAAATGGAATGGTACGAGAGAGAGTCAAGTAAATTCATTAAGCAGAAGTATTAGCATATATCTAGAGTTTTGAAGATAAATACCCAAAGAATTAGAAATAATTAAAAGGGTTTCTTCTGGGGATGGGGATGGAACTCAGGATAGAGAGCAGCAGCATGAAAGGGTGCTTTTCACTGAAAGTTCTTTAGTGTTCAGCATGTGTGTATAGTGCTTTGATAATTTATTTTTCTTTCAAAAAGAAATTCTGTTTTTAAAAATGAGGATAATATTAGTATTTAATCAGGTTGTTAGAAGGTTGAGTGACATAGTGGACATAACACCTGTGAAATAGTTGGCTCAGTGCCTGATGCATGGGAGATATTTGATAAATGTTAACTATTAGTATTATTATTACCACTAATAATTAATCAGGTTATCAGTGTTATAGAGCAATGGAAGCAGAGCCATTTTGGGGTCAGATCCCAGGGCACTTTGAAAATGAACAGTGCAGTACTGTGTATTTTATAGACATACCACTAATATAATATCAAAATAGTTCTTTAAATATAATTCTTAAGTTTCCTTCAGTCTTTTAGATGATTAAATTTTGATTGAGAAGAAAAAAGTCTTTATAACTGAAACCTTAACGGAGTTCTGCTACTTAAGTGTCATGCTGCCTAGTGAGTCATTGTTCAACCAGGTGGA